GTTCAATTTAAAATATATTTATATTTATGTATTTGACTTTGGGAGGAAAAATTAACTAGGGTTCACAAAATTTTGAAGTAAATTCAGAGATTTTAGCAAGTGATGAAATATCTACAAAAGTGTCCTGTATCACAGTATATATCTAATAGCTCCATAAAACAAAGACTTAACATTTTCAGGCCAGGAATTTTTAGGTTTCACCTCTTGCCAATTTTTTTCCCCCTCTAACTGGTGTGCTAATGATACTAGCTAGAACTTGAATATTCTGTGATTTAGAAACCTAATGTGTTCCGGTGTCTACTTACATCTTGTCACCTGATGAGCAACCTCACATGGGGCTAAGAGTCTCCTAAGTTGCTATATTGTGAAACAAAGTCCGAAGCAAAAATATAGCACCTTATCAAAAGGTGATGCATGATATTGGATAAATCTCCAAAGTTAGGGAGGTGAATATAGAGGAAAAAAAATCTGTTTCTTTATTGAAAACATTGATATCTGAGTAGTAGAATGGAAATAACTTATTTTGGACTCTGTGTTTTACTCCCACTGTTCAAAAAGTCCTCAGAAGAGAAAAAGTATTGTTCCTGAAATACACAGTGTTTCTTATGTGTTTTAATGTGCTTTAGAATTTGGCTTTTTCCTTTTTTGTACATATCTCACAAGCTGTTCTCAATTTTATTTTCAAAACTTTTGAGCTTCATATTTGCCCTAATTCAGAATCAAAGGAACTTTTATATTTTTTCTACTATGTTTGGACATTTAATTTTTTTTCTTTTGTGCTGTGTGTGCCTTCTGTGTTGAGAAACATTGCCACAGCAAGAATGGGTAAAATAGGAAAAGAAAGGAATGAAAAGCATGGAGAGGAGAGGAAGAAAAAGAGGAAGCAACTGACCTATTCAGCCCTATTTTTATTTTGCAAAGTACAAGAATGAACTCTGATCTGAATTATTGCAGAGCCCTCCTGCTCGATACAAAATCTGTTTTCCACATAACAGTTTTGATTGTCATTTTAAAATGAGCTTAAGATTCTTGTTACATCCCTCCTTAAATTTCTTTAATAGCTTCCCCTTGCACTTAGATTGACATGGAACTCTTAAGCATAGACTAAAAATGACCTGTCCTCCAGTTTCTCAAATCTCCCTTCTTAGTCACTGCTCAGCTTTTAAAATATGCCAGGGCTTTTTCCACTTGAGGGCCCTTTCCCTTGACTTTCTTTTTGCCTGAAATGATCTTTCTTCTGCTAAGCTCATGACTGGATTCTCCACTTTTAAGTCATTGCAGAGAGATCTTCCTTGATAATGGATCTGAGGGTTCCTCCTTCCATCCCAATCCTTCCAGGCTCACAATTATGTTCATTTATACCTACTTAGCACTTACTCAAACTGCTTTCACTAAAAATTACTCACTAGAGATTTATTTCCTTCAGTGAAAATATTAGCATCCAGAAAGCAGGTCCTTTGCCTTGGCCACATATGTGTTCTCCTTGGCTAACATAGTGTCCTGCACAGAGTTAATGCAAAATAAATGCTTGCTGAATAAGTGAATGAATGAAGTGAAGAATTTGGGTACAACTGGAGTACTGGACTCACATGGGTTTTCTTGAGTAGTGTGATGGGAAGTTGCAAAACTTTTGGTATGTTCAACTCATCTGGGAAAAGTTTTCTTAATGCTGGATAGGACAAAGTTATGCTAAAAAGACTGGAGCCAAATGCTAGAGTTCTTGAATGTTCTGATGCAGTGTCTGGAATCTCTCTGTGGTCCATGGATAGCTACTGGAAATTTTTCAATCATTGGTGTGTGCTTCTGAAATGTCTCCTTTATTGCTGGCTATGGAAAATGACTTGCGTGTCAGAAGAGCCTCATTCACTCACCAGCTCATGACACTGCAGCTTCCGAACATCAGCAGGGTGTTGATTTAGTCAGTGTTCATTTCTTTTTCCAGGCAGCATGATTGCCACGTAGGGTTGTGCTTCTGGGCTGGCAGGAGAAAATGTTTGCCTGCATTCCTCATAGCTTGGGTTAAAATGATCCAGGGCTTCTTTCTCACATCTCAGAGGCCAGTGGCTCACCTTTTAAGTTCAATACCATCTTCTTGTTGAATTATTCCCCTTTCCTCAATTCTTTTTTATTTCAAAATTTCTTTTTTCTAATGCATAGAGTTACCCTCATATTAGAGCTACCCTCTTCTGTGGTTGGTTTTAAGGATACCTTAAAGAAATCCGGTTTGAAGCCTTCAGATGCCATTTGCTTTTGATTTGCATTGGCGGAGTAGTTGGTAGTTTCCTCTTCAGTCAAAATCTAGTACTTACGAGGTCAGTAGTAATCTCCATCCATTAATACAACATTATATGTAGTGTGCACATGGTTCTGTGGCTTTTCCAATGAAACCCAGTATGTGAATTTTATTTCTACGACAGAGTACAAATTTATCAACTTTCCAGTTGAAACAATGATCTTTTTTTTTTTTTTATGGACTCTGGCAGACAGTTTTAGTTTCATGAACTGCTTTACAATAATTGAAAAGCCAAGGCCAGTTCATGAAGAAATTTTATGGTTCAATGTGAAGTTATGAAATCTTCTTTATATTTGTATGAGGAAGATGGCATTATGTTTAACAGAGTTAAAATACATTCATATATATTACTGCACCAAATAAACAAATAGGCAATGTGGTTTTTCAAACATTAGCTGACCATTCTCAAGAGCTACTGAAACGTATTCACCTGTGATAACTATTATTGGAAACTTTCAGCGTTATGTCCTCTTAGTACTGTATAGTTTATGAGACACACTGACATGTAACATACCTCTCAATCTATGTGTTAAAGATTTGCTTTACATTTTTCTCTTAGACATATCATAGATATTATTTATATGTAAATTAGATGGGAAATAAAAATAAATAATTTATATCATCTCTATTCACAGAAAGTTCTACTGGGAGATGCAAATATACTGAGATAAAATATAAGGCAGAATATGTTAAGTACCCATAGAGGAATAGGGATAAGATGATATCTGGTGTTTCACCAGAGCTATAGGTTTGGGAAAGCAGTTCTTAAGGAAAGCAGGATTCAAGCTTGGCCTTATGGGATGTGTTACATTTTAATAAGAAGTCACACAGGAGCAAAGCTTCTCTAAATCCATGCAACAGCCTGAGCCAAGGCATAAAAAGGAAAATGAGCATCACAACTATTTGTTTGCGTTCTATCAACTTTAAGGCCTAGTGCTATGCAATCAGAACATGTCAGTACTAAAGGGTTTTACACAATACTTATGGTTTGGCTATTAATTTGAGATAATTTTCACTAAAAGTTGCCTATCATATTCTCATAAGTGGTATGTTCACAGGAATTATAGATTATAGTCCTTCATGAGAGTGATGGGTTATACTCATTCAAGGGAACAGATTCACATCTTGAAAACTGATAGATCATTTTATAAACTATATGCTAACATTGGTTCATTTATTTTGAGTGTTTTTTTTTAATCACATTGATATATATTACACAGTTAAATCCTTCCAAAATGCTATGTGGTAGATAGTGATATGCAGTTTTTTTTGTGAGTGTATTTTTCTTAAGGGAGAACTGAAGTGCAGATGTTTAAAAGACATTTTCCAGGTTTACTTGGCCAATAAAAGTGAACCTACCTACAATTTAAAGCCCATTGTTTTCTCTCTGTACTTGTATAACTGTCACTATGTAGATGCCCATAGAATTCCAATTTATCTGATTAGTGTGTGAGAAATTGAGAAAAATAAAAACAGATAAAAAGAAACATCTAAAATTAGAGGTTTTGAAAACCAAAACAATTCTGGCTGCACAAAATTTAGGTCATAGGGAAAAATAATGGAAAAAGGTATTTTGAGGAAAGATTTAATAGGAGGAAAGTCATTAACTAAGAATATGATAATAAGGATGCGACACTGTAAAAATTAAGCAGTTTTTTTTTTTTCTGGGAGAGTCAATTCTTAATATATCACCAGCCTGCAGTGACTAGGGGCTTGTGAACCCACTGTCGTTTGTATTTTTAAGTCTTTGAGTAGCTACTTTTCCAAAAGAAGACCTAATGAATATTATATGATGTCCTACAATTTTATATTTTGTTCTTCAATAATAATGAGTTTTTATTTCTTCATACTTTAAAACAAACCCAACATATCTTTTGGATTTCACTATGAAAAAGACTACTAATGAGAATATTTATTTTTATGCTATGAAATAAAGGTTCTCTCTGTAGACAATCTCCATGACCAAAGCACAGGTCAAAATGTCTTAAATTTAATTCTTTTGTGTTAAAAATGAGTCCTTGCTTTGTCCATGAAGAGTGGGTCTAAGTGGTTTAGGAGGAAGACAATGTCTGTGTGGTGATTATTAAAAGTCCTTCCTTTTTTATTAGTGAGAATCAGAGTGGTAAGTTCAGGGTCTCTTACATACTGGAGTAGTTTACTCCTTCACTCTTAATTCATCACTGTCTGAAGCCTGAGGACACATTTGACGGAAGGATAGGTTTCCTACTTCCATCCTTTGGAAAATGAAAAGAGTATTCGTCCTTTGAGTTTCATGGGAAAGATGGGCAAAATCAAAGAGGAGAAAGTATAAGACAAAAAATATTGAAAATGAATATACAGCCCTGGGGAGATTTTTTTCTGTTTAATTAACTATAAAGCTAACATAATCATATAGGTTTAGTTTCCTAGAAAACATAGGTGGCTAAGAAAAGCGAGGAAGGAGATTAATGTGGAACAAAGCACATGTATTCATTTTCACCAATGTCAAAATATCCACATATTATTTTGGGAACACTATCAACTTCCTCACATTTAAGTGTGGATGTTAGATATAGTAAAGTGGAAAAAATATGTGTAAGTAAAGACTATGAACTGGAATCCTGGCCTTACCACTTTTACGCTACAAGACCTTGAATTAATCTTTTTATTTCTCTGAACCCAGCTTAGACACGTTTGCCTTCATTTGTTCCTTCTTTTCCCCCTGCAGCTTAACCAATTGCAAAAAGCAGTGGAAGCTGCTCACACTTTCTTCATGGCCAATCCTGAGCACATGGAAATGCAGCAGAACATTGAGAATTACAGAATGATGGCTGGCGTGGAAGAGTTCCAGCTGATAGACCGAGAAGCCAAACCTCACCTTGTGAGTTCTGAGGACCCCTGCCTCATGCCCCATGGAGCTATGTACTCCTGAGTTTCATTTGACCCAAACCAGATTCATGTGAATGGATATCTCAATTTGAGTCTCAATTTCCAGTCATGTTTTTATATTTTCAGAGTTCTCAGATGAAATATTGTAATTATCACAGTCCAAAAAAATCAAGAAAATATTTAAGTTTTTAATTAAATTTTAAAAATATTAAAAATTGAGGGAAATAAAAATTAACCTAGCGAATCAGTGTATTGGGAAACCCAGAACATCATACAAGTATCTGTAACCCTCAGCTCCGCTCCAACACTATATTTTTTTTTGAGACATGGTCTACTTTCATTTCTCAGGCTGCTCTTGAACTCCCGGGTCCAAACAATCCTTCTGCCTCAGTGTCCTGAGTAGCTGAGACTACAAGCACATACCACTGTGCCTGCTTCCAACACACTTCATACTTAGGAGCTTTGTCACAGGAGCAGGTCACATCATGGCTCCAGGGTTCTTGGGTCACAGGTTTGCCCATGGTACCTGTACTTTTCAAATTGGGGTTTTAAAGAGCCACACAATTCTTTTTTTATGAAATGTTATTTGAAATACCATGTTAGAAGGACTTTTTCCCCCCATTTTTTGCCATGACCATTCTCAAGGGCCTCTAAAATCATTGCAGTGAAGGATGAGAGAGAAAGATTTTAGATAGAAGACTACTTTTTGTTGTTGTTGTTCTTCAATTGGGCAAGGCCTGCAAGTGGGTGTTATTTCCATCCACATCTACTGTCCTGCACTTATTCTATGGCCCTACCCACGGGCAAAGGGACTAGAAATTATAATCTTAATGTGTGCTCAGGAGAAGAATGAAATTACTAGTGCCAGAGCAGCCTACTTGCTCATTCAGCCCTCTCTCATTTACAATTATTTGAATCTAGGGAGGTTACAGTCTGGGCTCCAGGTGTAATATTGTTTTCTGCAGCACATGTGAGCTCCACACCCCACCTTCCTACATGATCCTGGGGCTTCTTGCATGCTGCCTTTGAAAATATGTTTTTTCTGTGTATTTGCAGGAGAGCTACAGTGCAGGCGTTAAACACTATGAGGCTGATGACTTTGAACTGTCTATCAAGTACTTTGAACAAGCTTTACGAGAATATTTCAGTGAAGATGTGGAGTGCAGAACTTTATGCGAGGGGCCTCAGAGATTTGAAGAGTATGAGTACTTAGGGCATAAAGGGGGTCTTTATGAAACTATTGCAGGTAAAGCTTATTTTTTCTTCTTATTTATTTTATCATTACAAAAATACTACATGCATTTTGTAAAAGAATCGCATCAATGTTGAAGTATATATTCTAAAAAATGAAAGACTCTCATATGTCAATCCCATCCTATCTCCCCTTGATTATTTGTGCAGTTAACATTTTCCAATTGATTTGCAGATATTTATGTGTCTATAATTGTTATTGTGTTTTTATAGAAACAGGGAAATAGTATAAGTACTGCTTTTCAACATATTTTTGTTTTATTTGTGCTTAACAATTAATTGTGGACTTCTTCTAATGTAAGTACATAATATTCACCTGATTATATTTAATGACTAGGTAACATTCCATTATGTTGTGATGTCATAACTTATTTGACCAGTCTTACTGATGAATTATTGCAGAGTTTAATTTTTATAAACAATGTAGTAGTAAACACTTTGGTATAGTATTTTTCAATTACTTCAAAGAATAGTTTACTATATATGAGAATGGTATTTAAAATAGTAGGTATGGTCAATATACAGTAACTGCTGATATTAGCTAATTAAGCATTGGAGGACCAGCAGAGTTAGTTCCCTGCTGTATACCATGCATGAAATAAATTTTATTTGTATTAACAATTTAATTATAAAAAACAAAATTTTTAGAATAGATGTAAGAGATTTGTATTATGTTGGGAGAAGAAAAACTCTTCTAAGCATGAAAAAGACAGGATAAATCAAGAAAAAGGCTTTTTTCCTAAGACCCATCAATATGAACTTATACAATAAATTAAGTTGATCTACAAAAGGCAACTGGAAAATATTGCAAAATGTTTTATAGATGGAGCTAATAGCCTTCATATTTAAAAGGCATATTTAAAGAGAGCATATAAGTTCTTATCACTAGTATTATTGCTAGTGGTAATTTCTTAGCAGAGAAACTAACACTTAATGTAGCAATTATAACATACAAAGTTCTTTACAATTCTGTAGGCAGATACCATGTAGTTATGTACCCCCTCACCATGTCCATTTTGTGTTTATTTGTTTGTTTGTACTGTTTCAGTCAAAAGAAAAGGGAATTTATTGAGGCCCCAGGGCCATGGGGCTTGGGCAGGAGGCTACCCTGTGAGGGAAGGAGAAGCCCATGGAGGGGCCTTATTTGGCTGCTTCTTGGGGTGGAGTATGCTGCTGTGGCCTTCTTTTTTTTTTTTGTAGGAATTGACAGTGTGGGGTTCAAGGGAGCATGACACCTACAGCAGCTGTATTGTTGCATTGGTTTCTGGGCAAGCTGATGCAGGGAATGGTGGGTGCTGCTACTGTGTAGGCAAAGCAGCAGGTGCAGGGTAGGCGCTGAATGTGAAGTCCCAGAGAGTACAGCCATCCTCCCTCAGTCTGCAGGCATCAGATGCTACTGGTCAAGTGGGATGCTCTTAGGGCTTGGGTTTTGGCTTTCACATTTTTGGTGGTGTCACTAGGCTACAAAAGGGCTGCCCATCAGCATTTTCACAATTATCTGCATCTTGGTGGCAGTCACTGTATCAACTCATTGAAGAGACTCCTCTTCCTTTTTTAAATGAGGAATTTATCCCTCAGTAAGATTAAGCAACATGAATAAAATGAGGCTGGATATCAAATCCAGGCTTTTCTGAATCTAGAGAGCATATTGTCAAAGTCTAGATAACTGAAAAATGAAAAAAGAGTAATTTATTCAACAGCTGTTTAACAAACATTTGTTGAGTCTTATTGTGTTCCAAGTTACATATATGAAAAACAGTGTTCAGTTTCATAGAAATGCAAATTATTGAAATCAGTTTGTTTTCTCCAACTTCTAGTGTTCTCTAAGAAAGCACCTAACCAGTAACTGAAGCCAAGTCCCAGGAAGTTATCTTTTAGGTGCACATTGTCCTCAATTCCTCCTTTCATCTATCTGATTTGTTACAAAACTTCAATAGACACTACCTCCCAGTAGCACTTAGGATTTTCTGGCTCTCTGCATCCTTTTTGCTAACACCCTATATATTTTAACTAAACTATTGTGACTGCCTCCTTACTGCTTCTAGTGTATAGTTCAGGTTTGACACTAAACAGAGACAGGTAATTTTGTGTTTTAGAGTCACAAAATTCTGTATTCACAGACCTACTAAAACCTCAGCATCACTACCACCAATGGTTTATATTCCACTTGGAATAAAATCCAAACCTTCGAGGACTTTCATATATATGTTCTCATCAACCGGGTTCCCCAACTTCTCTTTGATTGATGCTTACTGCACCTTTAATTCCTTGAGCATACCATGTTTATTTTTACTTAAAGACCTTCAGAATGTTGTTTTCCTGTGTCATTTGTCTAAAGTCCTGTTTTGGTGCTAAGTCCTCAGTACCTAAGCATAATGACTGGCAGATAGTAGATACTTAGTAAATATTGAATATTGGTTAAATGAATAGGTGGATGAATGTATGAATTAGAATGACAGATAATTAACAATATTGCAGACTAACTGGTTAACAATCCTCCATGTTTGTGAGAATGTAGGTCATAAATTTTTAAGGATTTTTAAAGGGACAATTAGGTTATAGCTACCAAAATATAGACTAGAATCCATATATTTAGTAGACTCAAAATTACATTTAATTTTTCCCTATTACTCAAAATCAGCTCAGTTCACCTAAAATCAATAAACCCATGAATTATTGAGGATTTGTTCCCCAAAGTTTTGTTTCCCTGGGCTTCTGCCAGATCCATTTGCCTGCAGTATTGTGAGCATTGATCAATTCAATGTCAGTTTTTTTGCGTATTTTACATTTTAATTGCAAGTATTTCTCTACACTTATTTTTTTTGGAGGGGGGGAAATAGGCAGGCTTTTCTTTTATTATAGTTTGCTATGTTGTTATATTGTAGAAATATGTGCTCCACCCCCCGAATTCAGCTTTAAACCTGCCTCTGTGAATGCCCAAGGAAAAGTGTTGGCAAACATCCGAGATCTGGTTTAGGAAACTGACTATTTCCCATAGATCAGCATTTGATGATTTGCTCAAGGTCATTACCACAGCACATGGTTTACTGGAAAAGAATACAGGTCTTCTAGCTCAGGTTCTTAATACAACTACCACTGCCACCATCACAACTTCCAATAAAGAAAAGCAATAAAAAGAGTCAAACCAAACATTTTCAATTTCAGAAATATGGTAAATCTTCTTGGGAATTTGAAGTGTATCCAGTTTATTATGAGAAGGAACATTTTTAAAGTAGTCCCACACAAGTGTCTTGGATCGCATGCTTATTAAAAACATATTAATTGCACAATGACATTCAAGCAGAACACAGGCAAGGAATACAACTCATAAAAAGAAATATGACAACTCTCACTATGTAAATTCTTGTCTGGTTCAAAAGTGTCCTAAATTAGGAGTAAAACTGGCATTTAAAATACAGACTGTATTAGAAAGCCATAATGTTTGTGTTTTAGAGTTAGAAGAGACATTAAAAGTTGGAGAAAAATACAAATGGCTGCTGAATGCAGTTATTGATGAATAACCCTGAAGGATATCATTTTGTCACTTTTGTTGCTGTTTATATGCAGCTTTGAAAAATATTTTCATTCAGAAAATCATTTCATGGTGCATGTGTTTTCCATCTTTTTATTTTGCTTGTCATTTGGAATAGGGTAAATGTATATTAGAAGGTAAAGAGGAATGTAAGCGGTTAAGTAGAAGACAGCTGAAGGTTGTTTGTTGTTGTTCCTTTGAGAAATAAAATAGCTAGCTGTTTATTTCTAACTAGCTAATCAAATAAATGGAACTCACTCTTCCTCTCACATGGCCCAGCTGGGGCCAGTGGACTTCAGGGATTCTAACTGTGCCCCTAGGAGTGAGTTAGTCAGCTCGTGTGAACCTGGCACCGTTTCCCCCATACCAGAAAATGCACGTTTCCTTCCTATTGTGTTCTGAGATCCCTCTGCAAGATCATCCAGCTACCTATTAGTGTAGGTGTATTACCTACACTAATAGGTAGTGTCTATTGAAGTTTTGTAACAAATCAGATAGATGACTAAACAGAAAACCTCTTGAAAGAAGACAGTTTGGGTAAATTAAGTTGGACAACCATAGTCAAATAGATTCTATCATCCTTCTCAAGGCAACCTGCTCAGCCCAACATAAATGGACTATTCTTTCTGGAAAAGACTGTCTCTGTCTTCATTGTCAAAATCAAAGTCTGGGCAAGAGGGAAGAATGGGAGCCATAGAAGAGGAAGCAAGGAGAAAGAGGAAAAATGCTTACCTGAATTCTTTAGCTTTCATCCTTTCCCCTACTTTACCAGTTCCTGGTAAAGAATATATAATGTCCAGGTGATGGGCTAATTTGTAACTGGATAGAGTCTTCATCAATAGATGTCAAGAAATAATATTATTTTATTTTATTTTTATTATTAATTTTATTTTTTATTTCCTCCTTAGGCAAATTTGTCTTGAAAACTTTTCCTTTATCTGTATTTCTGCCTACCCTGCTCAGGGAAGGGGAGCTTTTTTGTTTCATTTCTCTGCTTAAACTCTAAATCAACACAGTGGCCCCATTCTCTGAACAGTTCCTTCATATCACTAGAATTTGAACTTACAACCCTCATTCCAGGATGCTTAGGACATCCAAAGAAAAGCGTCAGAGTTGTTAAATAATAAAGTCTACATGCAGCTGGATGTGGATGGGGTGAAATGGCTGTCACATTCAAAGGGAGTAAAGAAACGGATACATGGGAAAGGAAGGGTACAACATAGAAAAAGACCATGAGCCAGAGGGTTTGGAACCTACCACTGTTGAGTAATCACTGGTGAAGAGACTGGGGCAAGTCACTGTCTTGGTGAGAAGCTTCAACCATCTCAAAGTGCTGATGGTAGGGACTTCTCTCTGGCAGTGTAGGAGGTAAGGAATGCCGGTGGAACTGCAGCTGTCAGTAGACAGCAGAACATACCTTTGGCTCTTGTCTTCCAGATCACTACATGCAGGTGCTGGTTTGCCAGCATGAGTGTGTGAGGGAGCTTGCTACCCGCCCTGGCCGCCTCTCACCCATTGAGAATTTCCTTCCTCTGCATTATGACTACCTACAGTTTGCCTACTACCGAGGTAAAGCGTGGATTATCCGTGAGGACTTTGGGGGGTCGCTTTTCATCATTGCAGACACTACATTTCATGGTTTAGTCCTCTGCTTTCTTTATCACCAAAGCATGGAATTTACACAATTTTCCCTCATCTCATATCACTGCTTAGGACAAGAAGAGCAGAAGGTGACACCATAAAATAGGCAAAGTACCAAACCTAATACTGTGATAATTTCCTGAAAATTATACCTAGGCTGACACTATATGATTTTTAAACTTAATTCTTGGAGCTTAATTTTAATAGTAATACATTCCTATAACTTGCAGACCCGAATATTATAAAGCCTTCTTCTCCTCCGTGTTTCCTCCACCCAGTTTCATGACCATCGACCTTGTTTCTTATCTATACTTCCAAATTTTGTATGTAAAAATTAATATACCCTCACAGAAAATGTTTCTCCTTCTTCTTTCTTTTACACAGAAGGCAACATATTATTTATACTATTCCTGCACTGTTGTTTCACTTAATGCATGTCAGATTTTTTTAGCAGGTTAGACGATGAAATCACCATTTTGTTAGCCAAACGGCTAAATATTTGCAAGTTTTTAGGGTTTAGCATAAATGTATCAGTATGTGGAGATCTTTCTCATCCATTTTTCTTCATATCTGCATGTTATTGAACTATAATTTATTTTAGTGTCAGCTTATTAATGGGCAGTTGTGTTGGTAGTGATCTGTTACTAATGCATGTACTTTCAAGTGAAGAGCACTTTATGTATGTCATTGCACATCTGACCACAGATATCTATCTGTAAGATCATGTTTGGAAATTCAATTGATGGGTTAAATGATTTATTGGTTGTAGTTATGACAGATGTTGCCAAATTTTCCTCCAGATGGAGTGCATTTTCCATTGCTCATCATCAGAATATATTATCAATTTTTAGATGTTCCCCAGGCCATTAAGTGAAAAATGAAATCTCAATATAGTTTTACTTTCTCTTTATTTTAATGAGAAAGAGATATTGAGCATCCTTTATTGTGCTTTAGAGCAGTTAATAGAATTGAGATTGCTGAAATTGGTCTTTGGTGCCACATTGTCTAACATCTTCATTTTGTAGGGAAGTGATTGTCTTGAAGTCACTTCTCTTAGTGACATGTCTTAATTCCTGGATGCTCTTCTGTCTCCAGTATCAGTGCCTTTTAGAGAAGTCACTAGTAAAGAAAGTATTTCCCTTCTAAAATAAGAAGAAAAAGACTCAAGCCAATATTTTAACGCTACTTTGGAAAATCAACATTTTTAAGCTACTTTGGCAAAGCCTCTCCCTTTCCAAAAGCAAAACATTACTCATTGTCCTGGCACTGATGGCAGATAATAAATCATGTGCTCAAGTCATTAGCAGTGACTGCAAAGGAGTTGAGAGAATTGTTTAATGTTATCATTCTTACTAAAAAAATTAAAGCAGTCTCTGAAAATATGTGTGTATATGATTTCTTTTAAAAGATATTGAAGTGTTATGACCTAAAAACATGATGTACAGCATTTCAAAATTTTGTTTGTGATGGTTAAATATTTCTAAATATTTCTTCTATAATAGGTAAATGTTTCTATAATGAAGAGTTTGTAGTTGAAACATTCTTAATTGTTGCTTTTCATACTTGGCCACTGTTGAAGCTGATGTTATGTGGTGAGGGGTTGGAGAGAAGTCCTCCAGAGCATCTGGGGTTCTGTGAGTCTTTCTGTGGAAGCAGCACTTCACCCCAAATGTAACAGCATTTTGAAATTACTTATATTTCTCATACACTATGAATAAAATAGTACATCACTGTGGTAGAAGATTATACTTAACCCAAACTCAGTACAGAAATAAGAATTAATTTCTCCAATTCTGCTGTTTGTATTAAATAAGTTATTAGTGAGCAACTTTGTGTAGAAACTTTTGATAATCTATGCAAAATGTCTAGCACCCAATCAGACTAAACATAATCCCTTTTGAGCATGTGAATCCATGTCTTTCCTTTATCTGTATTTCTGCCTACTCTGCTCAATTTGTCTTCTCTCTTATTGATGATTCATGTTGACTTTGATTGGCAAGTTGAAGTTTCTTTTTAAAATCCTCTGGGAAGACCTAGGCTAACTCTAATGCTACATGTCCTTGACCTTTCAGTTGGTGAGTATGTGAAGGCCTTGGAGTGTGCCAAGGCCTACCTCCTATTCCACCCAGATGATGAGGATGTCCAAGACAATGTGGATTACTATGAGAGTCTATTAGATGACAGCATTGACCCAGAATCCATTGAGGCCAGAGAGGTGAGACCAATGATCTGAGAAAAAGCTCTTTATTCTGCCATGTGCTCTGGGGAGAGTTGATAAATGTACCACTGCTCTTAAAGATACTGAACGATTTAGGAAAGGTCCTAGAACTTAATTCTTTCAGGCTTCATTCATGCCAGAAGCACATTTTTCTCATACATGCTAACTTGAAAAACTGTTGGCATGGGGACTTCCCCCTTCCCCCCCAGACTCTGAATATTTCTGTTAGTTCATTTGTCATTGTGTAACGAAAAGTATTCACTCAAACATTTATCATAGCTCTTAGCTGTTATTTAAATATAAATTTTCTTTCTTTTTTTTTCCCCTCTAGGATTTAATTATGTTTGTGAAACGACATAAACTTGAATCTGAACTGATAAAATCAGCTGCAGAGGGACTGGGATTTTCATACACTGAACCAGTAAGGGCAAAGTGAAAAAAGAAAATGTCTATTAAAGAATTTGTCGGTGGACTTCTTATTCACAAATAATAAGAATTTAGTATTTTTTGTTCCCCACCCTCACTTGATGAGGATCTAATAGTGCCCTCCTTGAGTTAATACTGGGGTAGGAGTGGAATCTATACTCAGTATATGTGATGAACTTTAAAAGACTGACCTATTTCCATAGCTCCCAGGACCAAAGTCAAAAGCAAATACTGGAAAGAAGTAGTATTTTGTACATGATTCATTTGCCTCAGGATTGATTTATTTTTTTGAAAAATTTTGATGCGGCCAGGCACAGTGGCACATGCATGTAATTCCAGCAGCTAACAAGGCAGAGGCAGGAGGATCTCTAGTTTAAATCCAGTCTTAACAATTTAGCAAGGCGCTAAGCAACTCAGAGAGACCCTGTCTCTAACTAAAATACGAAACAGGTCTGGGGATGTGGTTTAGTGGTTGAGTATCCCTAAGTTTAATGTAAACATTAAAGAGGCTTCAGAAAGAACAGCATTGGGCCAACTTTTTATGCTGTCTTTCTTCATTTCCCAAGCTATCTTCTAAATTGTTCATGTAAATACACACCATTTGCAGAGCTAATGCTATGGTGTAGATAGTCTGTGTTCTGATTTCTATTTGAGAAAATATCATAAGCAATTTCTATAGCTCTTAAAATTATATGTATAATTGGTGGACAATAAGTAATAAACCCTTGTCATGCTTCTGGATATTTGAATTGTTTCTCGCATACTTAATGTTAAGCATTTGTGTCTCTATTAAACTATAACCATAGAATAAATTTCTAGGAGCACAATTACTTTGCCATCAAACCATGAGGTTGAAAAGTACTCAAAATGAAATTACTTTTCTAAAAGAATTTTCTGATACCTTTACTGCTCCCAGTTAAAATATTGACTTACTACAAACTTCTCAGTACCAAGAAATAATATTTTGAAATCACCTGTATTATTCATGTATTATGTAGAAAATACTACATCATTGTCATTTTAACTTGTATATTTTCAATGAACAGCAAGAATAACCCTTTTCAGTATTATTACTTGCCTTTGAATTACCTGGACATGGACTTTGTTCACTATTGGTTACTAATATATTCTTTATATATGCTTATGAAATTATATGCCTATCAATTATTATTTGTAGTGTATTTTATTTGCAGCATTTTTTTAGTTTTTATTGGTATGAAATGTTTTTATTGGTATGCTTTTAAAGTTAGGTTAATTTAAGGTAATATTTTTATTGTAATGCTTCAAATACATTCTTCCCATTTATTATTTTTCAAATTTGTGTTAGCTCAAGAGACACCAGAAAACTGCATTTACTCCCTTTATAATCTTGCACAGATATTTTGTCAAGTTTGACTTCTTTCATCTATTTGTTTTATTCTTACAATATAGAATAGTTAGACTGAACAATATTGCAAACTTCTTTCTGACACCAAATTCCAAGTCATTTTCTGGGACAGAAAATGAGCTAATTCCATACTATTTTTTTTTAAAGAGAGAGAGAGGAGAGAGAAAGAGACAGAGAAATTTTAATATTTATTTTTTAGTTTTTCGGCGGACACAACATCTTTGGTTGTATGTGGTGCTGAGGATCGAACCCGGGCCGCACGCATGCCAGGCGAGCATGCTACTGCTTGAGCCACATCCCCAGCCCTCCATACTATTTTTAAATCCATTTGGGTTTCATTTTGCCAGAATTTCATCAACATTAGCCTGCCTTTTTATTAATTTTTTAAATAAAAATAAATTGTGTTTTATGTAAAGTATAAGTTTCCTGATAATTTAGGTCTTTTGAATATTTTGAATATGTTTTAAATTTTATTTTTCAAATGATATTTTCGTAACAAATACAATTTTTTGCTTAATTTAAAACAGAATTATTGGATCAGATATGGAGGACGACAGGATGAGAATAGGTAAGTCTTTCATTCAAAGTAAGTATGAACTATTTCTTTTTAATGAGAAGGAACACTTATAGTCAAAATATAATATAAGGAACTTAGCTCTTATTAAAAAGATAATTAAGAGTTTTAAAAGCTACAAATTAAGAGCTCTGTATCCTGGTTCCAGCTTTTCCAGTGTGGAAGGTCATACCTTTGTATGTATGACTGTAAGTAAATGTCTTCCTCACTGGGTCTCATGACTTTTCCTAAAAAAAAAAAAAAAAAAAAAAAATTGAATCCAGCAACTTGAGTGCTGACATTCTGTGATTCCAAATCAGGTAAAAGAAAATGAAATTTTTCTATTGCATGTTTGAATAACTTAAACTCTTGATGTATTTTAAGTTACCCATTTGAGATTATATGGTCCAGTCTGTTCACTTTCAAACTGGGGAACAGGCTATGTCAAGGGAAGGCACTTTAAACTTAGAGTTTCACATCAAGGGATTGGCAGACCCAGGTCTTACTCAGAATCTTGAGGTCTTTCACTGGATTTTAAGGACTCGGCTCTTAATTGGTGTAAGATTATTGCAAGAAATCTAAGAATATTATGTGCAATTTGGATTTCTCCAGTTCCTGTGTGTTATAAAGGCAGCTAACTCTCATTTGTGTGTTTGCAAAGTATGACACAAACATAAGTCTTCTTTCTCAGAATAGTACAGAACTAGAACATTAGAATATAATTTATTCCAATTCAATCATTCAGTGATGCAGTCCATGTTCAAAGCACAATATTCTGAGCATTAAGAAGATTCATATGATAACTTTTTCTTGCTCCATTGGAACTATGCTTTTATCTGAAGGAGGTTAAGATATAGATACCTTTAATTGTAATGAAGCTTGCAAAGAAGATTGACAGGAGTGAAGTAGAACATATTCATTGAAGAAATAGAGAAGAACCTCATAGAGGCAGGGATATGTAAAGTTTGATTTTAAAAGACAAGTGGACTTATGTAAAACAGAAATATGTAATAAGAACCATAGAATTCTTCAGTATAGTATCTTTTCTTTGGAACATCTTTACTCAGTGGAAAATTTCATTGCAACTTTTTTTGAATGGACAGGGTCCCTTCAGGAGTGAATATGGAGGGGGCAGAAGTTCATGGATTATCAATGGGGAAAAAGTCATCACCCAAGATAGATCGAGATCTAAGAGAAGGTAAGTTCCCATTGGCTTTCACTTTTACAAGGAGGGGAGGAAGAGGGTAGTGTGTGAACCATTCTTATCTAGATCAATGCAGAACCCACTTTCTCTGGAAAATTAAGTTTAGGACTAAATTACTACAGTTTTTAAAAGCCTGAAAGCAATGCTTAGAAACAAGAATGTCTAGGATTTGTATATTATTAAAAATGTGCTTCCACATTCACCCACTCATTGTTTTTTTTTCCCCTACAGTAATCCTGTGAGTTAGGCAGGGACAGTATGTTCATCTCCTTCCTGAGTTGAATACCTGAGGCTTAGTGAGGCCCCAGAACTTAGCTCTGTCATATATAGTCAGCTAATGAATGCTAGATTATGTGGGATTATCTAGGGAATTTGGAAAAGAGATAGGTCATATGGGATATAGGCTAGTTCATCTAAAAAACTTGAAGATAGAACTAAGAAGTGCTTTGAGAGAAAGTACAGTTTATTTATTTTTTTAAATTTCTTGCTAGGCTGGGAATCCAACCCAGAGCCTTTGGCATGCTAGGCAAGCACTTTATCTCAAGCTGTACCTCCCCAGCTCAAAAATAGACTTCAGATTGAATTGACAGGGTGTGGAGGGAGCCATTCTAGTCTACAAAACAAATAGAGCAAAGGCACAGAGATGGGGAGAGTAGAATATTATATGTCTAGTCATGTAAGATTAAAATTAGTGGAATCACAACTAGAGAGTTGCCAAAAGTAGTTTTTAAATAGAGCCAAATATTGTTATAATAATAAACTATGAGTAATGTAGTACTAATAGAAGTACTCATTCTTAACAATTTTTCTTTTCTATGTTTTATAATATTTCAAGGAAAATTACACACAATTCATTTTAATACTACCAGTTTCTCATGTGAAGAGGTTTGGTAACTTCTTTAAAGTCTCACAGCTCATAACATGTTGGGCAGGCATCTGAACCTAGACTTTGGAATCCAATTCCCAGTTTTTCTTCTTAACTTTCTGCATGCAACATAGCAATGTGTATTCCTAAAGCATAATCTTTTTGTTTTTGTTTTCCCATATTTTTATTGGTGTGTTCAGTTGTACATAATGGTGGGATTTATTCTTATCTATTTATACATGCACACATTATAACAATGTGATTTGGCCAGTATTATTCCCTTTTCTTCTCCTTCTCCCTTCCCCCGTTCTCATTCTTACCATGATCTCCCTTTAATTTTTAAAAATTTGTTCTAAATAGTTATACATGACAGTAGAATGCATTTTGACACATTGTACACAGATGGAGCATATTTCTTCCTCTGGCTGTACACAATGCTGAGTCACACCAGTAGTGTAATCATACATGTATATAGGGTAATAATGTCTGTCTCATTCTACCATCCTACCAATCCCCACCACCCCATCTCTCCCCTCACTCCCCTCTGCACAATCCAAAGTGCTTTCATTCTTCCCTATCCCACCCCCCACTATGGAAAAGAATAACTTTTGATTAAATACAGTTATCCCTGGGTGACCATCTGGAATTGGTTTTAGGACCCTCCCCCACCACCAAGGATACCAGAATCCAATTATTCTCAATCCCTTTTATATAATGTCTTACTATTTGAATATAACCTATGTTCAGCTTCTTTTATACTTTAAATTATATGTGTAAATTGCTTGCCATACCTAATACAAGTAAATGCTATGTAAATCGGTGTCATACTGTGTTATGACAGAATAAAAGCTGTACATATCCAATATAGTTTTTTTTTCCAACTATTTTCAATCTAAGGTGGTGAATCCATAGCTGCAGGACCATACATATGGAGGGCCAACTACAGTTGTAGATAAGAAGAAGCTTTCAAAAACCTGCATTGAGGAGTACTGTATTTCTTTCCCCACGAGAGCTTCTCAGCACATTCCTCTAGCTGATTTAAAAATGTCTAGCTCTCTATACTCTTACAATTCCTAGTTCTTTTCATCCTTAGCTTCCAAGTCAGTTTGAAGCAGTAAACAGGATAATATGCTCATCTGTGACCTAGACCTTAGTTTGTAGCCACAAACCCCAAACTGTTTTACAACTGCCAGAAAGCTTCACGGTCAGTCAGAGTTCATGTTGCCTTTTAAGCTGAGAAATCACCTAGGAAGTACATGGCAATAGGCCCGCACTTTGCTGTAAATGTTTAGGAAACTCCAGAGCAGTTGCCAAATTTCAAAGCTTTTTTTTTTTTTTAAACAAAACAAAACAAAACAAAAAATAACCTTTGCAACCAGGAGGGAATCTGATGTTCAGTAACGTAACTACTGACTAGGAAGCTTAATGGGAAAAGTGGAACATAGGACTGACTACATGTGATGATTGATTGATTGGGTTACCAAAGTCTACCATCTCTTTTTGTTTGTTTTGTTTTGTTTGTTTTTTATTTGTTTTTGGTTGAATTGGAGAATGGATCTTAGGATATTCTTTGGGAACCTACAGGTCTGAAAGGAAAAAAAATAAAATTCCTACTCTGTTCTCATACCCAATACAAACATGTTTGTGACCAGATACGTGGGATTTTCTCCCTGCACCCCAAGCAGTTCTCTAAGGGATACATACCAACTTGATGTTCTCAAATTAAATTCAGTTCTCATGTTCTCCACCTGGAGAGTGTCAGGTCCCACAGGTTGAGGGCTTAGCCCGACAAGATTGCCCCACTTCAAACACCAATGACAATAGCAGGTTGTCACTTGTACTTCTGAGTTTCCTACTGACCAGCTACATATGTGGCTTATGACCCCCTCTTTGAGCTTGATTAATTAGCTAGAACAATTCATGGATCTCAGGGAATCCCTCACGTTTACCAGTTTAATATGAAGATCTTTATAAAGGAGACGAATGAACAGTGAGATGCAGAGGTGATTAAAACCAGGGAGTGGAAAAATACAGAGCTTCCTTGCCCTCTTGGGGGAATTGCCTCCCAGCATCTCCACACGTTCATTACCAAGAAGCTCATTACCCCTTGTTGAAAGAGAACTTTTAGGGAGCTGAATTTCCAGCCCTTCGGCTCCCTTCCCAGAGGTCCACATTGAGACTGCAAGTTCTACCCTCCTCATCACTTGGTCTTTCTGATGACTAGTCCCATCTTCAGTCCATCCAGGGGCTACACCTGAAGTGAATTCATAAGCATAGACTCAGGTGTAGTCAAAAAAGGCTTTATTACAGCCAGGCTTGATGGTGCACAACCGTAATCCCAGTGACTTGGGAGGTTAAGCAGGAGATCACACGTTAGAGGCCAGCCTCAGCAACTTAGTGAAGCCCTAAGAGACTTAAACCCTGTCTCAAAATTAAAACCAAAAAGAACTGGGGATGGTGCTCAATAGTTAAGCACCCTTGGGTTCAATGCTCATCCCTCTCCCCTGCAAAAAAGCTTACAAGTAACAAAGATTCTTCTATCATTAGTAAATCAAATGGGTGTTAGAAGCTGTGAACTAGGAACTACGGACAATAAGAGCACATACATTTCTTATTACACTGCAATTTCTGTTCAGTGATCAAGCACCTAAATATGATGTAGAATAAGAGCAGTGGAAGACAGGGGCAAATGAGCTTCCTGGTAATGAATGTGTGGAAATGCAGGGAGGCATCTCCCTCCCACTCCCTGATTCTCTTCACCTCTGTACCTCACTGTTCATTTGTCTCCTTTATAAAGTTTTTCATATTAAGCTGGTAAATGTGAGAGATTCCCTGAGATCTGTGAGTTGTTCTAGCTAAAAAATAGAAAACACTTAGGCTGGAAGAAGATGTTAAGGAGGCAAGAAAATATGCAAGTGCCACAAATTATATTTCAACTTTTCTCATCTTCCACAAAGATATCATTATTTCCTCGGGCTTCTCACTTGTGTATCTAGTTGTATTCCTAGTGGACATCTCCTAAGCATTAAATGGGAATCACCGGGGGCCACATTCTGTCCATAGAACATACAAGGTAACTAAGGACTTTCTTTGTCCCTTGTTCATTCTGCTTCTAACCACCAGCTTTGCAGTAGTCATTGGGAATATGGTAGAAATGAAATGACATTGAACTTGGAATCAGAAGGCTTAGTTTTTGCCAATATCTTATTCTAATGTGTTGTGTGCTCCTGAGCCCTTTTATCCTGATCCATGAAGGAAGTATGGCATCATTTTTGAGATGTGAAAGTCTTTTGTAAACTGTAAAGGGCTGTACTCATATAAGGGCTCATTAACTTGTGTACTCCCATCAATACCTTGTGTGACATTTTGATATTTATGGAAATTGATTTTTCTTACTGTGAGCCACAGAGTGAACACAAAGGAGTACTTTCCTAGTAAATCTCTTTGTTGCAAGCAGAGAATCAGAGCCAGGCACATACTTTATGAATGAGAGTAGAATTAAGTTATTTAACTAAATATCCTGGAGCTGTGGTTAGGAGCTGGCTGAAACCATCAAGTCAGGCCACAGGAACCACAACCTATTGGACTATGTTTTAATTTTAATTTTAATGTTATTCTCTGTCTGGTGTGCTACTAGTCATCTGCAGGCTGGTTAACCTGCCTTATGAATGGCAAGATTTGTGGTTTTTTTTTCTTTTAGCTAGTAAGTGGGAAACTAGGTGTTTTATGAAGTGTATATGTGGGAAATTTCTGTATAAAACTCTATTCTTCATGATAGCTTTGTTAGCTACATTAAAGGCAGGTTTGTATTACAAATTCTCCCTGAATCTTTTAGGATCTAGATATTTAAGACTCAATGTTGCATTTATTGTTTACACAATCTGTGTGTGTTACTTATCATCCAGTTGGGGGATGTTAATATCTCTCTAGCATTCCTTTGAAATAGTCCCCATCATGTCATAATCTTTATTAAGATGCCCCAGTATGAACTTTACAAAATATTCCAGGCACAGTTAACTAGATCAATCATGGTGATGATGATGATGATGATGATGATGATGATGATGATAAGAACAAATACAGAGCTTGAATGTTAGGCATTTTTTCCAAATGTTTTAGTTCAGTAACTTTAAAAAAAATCATACTTCAAAAATATGCTAATAGTGTTCAAAGAAATATAAGCTTAAAACTTGACAAAATACAATCTAACCTACTTTATTAAATTTCCTATGTATCTTCCATTTCTATTTGAATTTTATAGTAGCAAAAATTTTTTGCAGTTAACCTACAGATACCTTCTCTTTCTTGTTGAAGGAACATTTCATTTCATATTTCTTTTTAAATTCTGTTTTAGTTGAAGATGAACACAATAATTTTATTTATTTATTTTTAAGTGATTCTGAGGATCAAAACCAGTGCCTCACACATGCTAGGCAAGTGCTCTGCCACTGAGCTACAACCCCAGGCTCTTCATTTCATATTTCTGCATTAGAGTGAACAAACAGTTCACTTTTCCAAATAATCCAGCTACATGGATTAGAGCAGCATACCAAAATTGTATTCTGTGTTAAGAGGGTCTTTGGGAGGCTAATGCTTTGTTTTGTTTTGTTGCTGTGAAATAAAAAAAAAAAGGGCCCAAATAGAGCTGTTAACAGCAGCTCTGTTATCTCACAGTTGCTATGGGTCAGGGGTCTGGGGTCAGTGTGGCTGAATCAACTTCAGTCTGTCACATATTGGTGGTCAGGGTTAGGATCTCTTCCCAGACTTGACTGGGAAGTATCTTCTTTCAAATCAGATGGCAGAATTCGGTTCCTAGCGGGTTGTTGCCTGTAGTTCTTCAGTTTCTATTGGATGCCAGCTGGAGGAGGTCCTCAGTTCCTTACCACGTGAGCTCCAAAGCAGCCACCTGCTGCATCACATCAAAGCATGGGAAGGCAACGGACTGAGTCTGCTGAAGATCCAAGATGCAGTCTTATATAATGTAAGGAAGACGTGACATTCCATCACCTTGGTCATATTCTCCTGGTTGGAGAAGCAGGTGCCAAGCCCACCCACACTTGTGGGAAATAACTTACACCAGGGTCTGAAAGGCAGGAGGCAGTGATCATTAAGGGCTACCTGAGAATCTCTCTGCCGTGGGAAGGAAAGAAGGGAGAGAGGGAATGAAGAGAGGAAGGGAGAAGGGACAGGCAAAGGAGGGAGGAATTATGTTCATTTAAGGTTAAAATCTTTTGCATATCACATCACTACTTAGGAGATTCGTAGGGCTTATTCACACAGTAAAAGTTCCAAGAAATCCTTTTCAATTTTATTTAACACAATGCTTGCCAAAAACTTGTCAGCACAAAAAATATTGTAGAAAAACATATTTTTTCCTGTTCGTCCAAAATGTATGATACTGGAACTTGGGGCTGGTGAATATATTTTTAGAATCCAAGAAATTCTATATTTATAAATTTTGATGACAATTTTAAAAATTAAGGGATGAAATGAGTAGGTCATCTGATGACCACCTTGTAGCGAGGTGTTGCCTGAGGTTTCCCTTCTCAGTTAAGGTCATGTTGGCCCAGTTATTCATACATCAGTGATTGAGGACTAAGAATAAATGAAGGGGATAAGCTTCTAAATAATATATTAAGGCCAGATGAAGGCCAAAATTCATCACATACTATAAGATTTTAAAGTAGATTCTATAGAGAGAAGTTGTGGTGGAAAGAACATGCCATTATACACCACAGTGTTGTAAGAAATGCTGGTTCAGAAGAGCCTGGTCCAGATTATTTAGAAGAATATGCATGTGGAATCTGTTGTTTTATCTTCAGTGAAATAACATCGACCATTTTATTAGGGCTCTTAATTTGAATTTAGATGGCTTTATGGTCTTGCTTTTATTTAATCTTGTAAGTAATTTTTGGTATTATACTAGTATGAAATAATAAAACTAAATACAGCATACATAGTTTTATAATTACAAAGATGGTAGAAAAAAATCACAGTAAAATAATTTGTTCACACTGGAGCTCCTTAGAGACCACTGGCTGTAACAGATAACCATACATTACTCAAGATTTAGAAATACTATCTCATTCTTTTCATGCTCTCTTAATCATGTTCTGTGATAAAGCCCCCCATTTTTTTCTAACTAGACTAATAAAAAAGTAGTGCTACTCCCCAGGTTGGTAATCTGTTTTACAGAAATGAAACACACATCAAGTTTGATGTCTCTGCACATGTGACTTAGCCCCATGTGGTCGTGGGGCTGGTTAGAGAAGCAGGTGCCAGGCCCACGCACACTTGTGGGAAACAAATTACACCAGGGTCTGAAAGTCAGGAGGCAGTGATCATTAAGGGCTACCTGAGAATCTCTCTGCCATGGGAGAGAAAGAAGGGAGAGAGGGAGTGAAGAGAGGAAGGGAGGAGGGAGAGCAAAGGAGGGAGGAATTATTTTGCTAGACTCGGGGAGGACGGGAGATGTACCTCCATACCCCCACATCCTCCAGAATGAGCTGCCCTTACTCAGGTATTTATCAGCTTGTCAGGTCCTTATACTTATCAGGAGTGTTTTAAGGAGATATATATATAT